TATCATGACCGTAGAAGCGATGGTAGGTGCAGTACTTCGTTCTTGCTAGGGGCATGTTTGCCTGTTTCTTCTTTCGACGGCTTATGTTGGTTGTTCTTTTGAATGTTCCTAACTTGGCAGTTGCGTCCTCATATGCCAGACTAATTGCATTTAGTGTGGCAGGCACCAATGCTTGTCCGGAGGTGGGTGCTACTGTATGCCCTGCTTGGGTCCATTGCTGTGTGACGAGGTGCGTTGCTAGTTCTTGACCTACCTGCTTCTAAGACAGAGGGAGCCCTTGAGCTGCGCAATTTTGGTGGTTAATCATCTCTTCATTGATGATCTCCACTCTTATCATTTCTACCAGTTCGTCATAAGTAGCTAGATTCTTGCTTCGCACGTCTCGTCAAAACAGTGTGTTCATGTTCAGGTCTCCTTTCAAGGCTAAAAGGGCCTCTCTATCTGTGACTTGCTCGCAGTATGTAATTTCATCAGTAAACTTGGTGAGATAGCTTTTCAATGTCTCCCCAAGAGCCTGTCTTATATTTTAAAGGCATTGCACTGGGGCTTCTCCTTCCCTTCATGAGAGGTATTGGTTCAAGAAAGCCTCCTTCAAATCTTGCCAACTTCTAATTCTTAGAGGTGGTATCCTGATGTACCACACTTCGATGGCTCCGGTGAGGGTCAGATGAAAGGCCCTGCATTCTAATACCCGTGAGGCTTCCTTCAAGCTCATTTGCATCATGTATTTGGTGAAGTGCTTTCGTAGGTCTCCATTTTCCTCATACTTTGGAATTTTAGAGGCATGAAGTTTGCAGACATTGGGAAGCTTCGGATCTCTCTTGAGAAAGAGAGGTTGTCGTCATCGTCGTCGATTTCATAGGATCGACATGGCCCTTCAATGTCTACGTCCGGTATGTTTTGGGAAAGTGGAGGTGCTCCTCCTCAACTACCCCAATCCACCAGGTTTCTCCTCTCACGCCTATTTCTAGGTAGATGAGGTATTTCCTGATCATGTTCCTACTCTTGTTGAGCTAATCTTTGTACAGAACGAACCCTATTGCTAGGGTTTTGCCCTATTCGGTCGAAGACACTAACCGACCTTTGTGGCTCATATTCTGGTGGGAAGTTTTTTCCCAGCTGTGGTTCTGCCGCTTGAGTACCTTGTGCGTAAAAAGTGACATCTACTCCCACTTCTCTTTTAATGGGGCGTTCTCTCTGCCGACTCGAATGGCCTTAGTCTTGAGATGCATAAATTTGTTCTTCAGCCAGGTGGAGCCTTTGTGGCATTTGAAAGCCCTGCTGTCCTTGGGCTCACATGAAGAACTCGTGCATCACCATATTCTGGGTTGCGATGTGCCTCATGCTTTTAGTTATTTGAGCCATTCTTGAAGTGAGTGTTGCTATCGTCTCACCCCAGCAACGCTTATGATGGGGTCTGCAGTGAGTGACATTTGTTCGGAGCACCTCTTCCTCAGAGGCATCCCTAAGCCCTTTAGGATTTGCATCCTCGTTGCTATAACTCATTTTTTTACTCTTTTTTCAAAGGTGTCCAGAACTGGGTCGTAGATTGTGGCGAATTCTTTTTCAAGAATATCCTTTTTTCAAGGTGAGTCACTGGTTTTTGATGGTTAACGGGGAACTATTGAACGAAAGTTTCCACAGACGGCGCCAATCTGTTAACCTCGTGATTTGGACCTTCCATGTGGCCAACCTAGAGTCACTTCACGTATCCTTCCCTATGCACAACAATGAACAATCAGACGTACACGATCGAAACCAATGGGGGTGATGGTAGTCGCATACACTCCAACAATCAAGTTAGTGGACGGTGATTGAAACGGTGCCGGAATTGTGCAAGAGTGGAAAGAGAAATATTATACTTTGTATAGAATGCCAAGTTATTCTAGTAAGAGTTTCATTACCGTTTTCTCTTGCCATGCCTCCGGTATTTATAGGCAATGAGTATCGTTGGATGTGGGACATGTGCATGCATCTGACAGTACGAAGCGTCTACTCGTAGGCGTTAATCAGTCGCATCTAGAGAGTGTAAGTAATTAATTCGTTTGAGTTATGAGTTGACGTAAAGCTGAGATGTCACATTAATCAATCCATGAAGATAAAAGAGGATCCTAACACAAATATAGATCTCTGCAACTGGCGGCGGAGAGGCCTCTGCCACAATGCCTCGAATCCGTTACGCTTCGGTAAAGGGGTGAGAACCTCGGCAATCTCTTTAAGTGATGACCATGCCTCGTAGCATGTTAACATTGAGGTTGGGTTGAGGCGTAGTGAACTCAGGTCACTTCAAAACCACTTCAATTGGACAGGTGTCACTTCGCTGATGAATAAGCATGACGCGTCAAAGTGGGTCATTTAGGGGCGTAATAGGTATCACCCAAGACAGATTATCGTCATCTCTTGTAAGTTTATAGTTATAAAATTCAGTAATTAATGCTTCATATCCTTTACATGATTTTAGTAATACGTAAGTCGAGTTCCATCTATGTCCCACATCGATTACAAATTTTTTGGAATTCATACCAAATTGTGTTTAACTCTGTGGTATTGAAATGAATAGTGTTTCAATTATCCCAACGTATCTTGTTTGATGATATTCTTTCACGAACTCCGTGAAATTTTCGTTGTACATTATGCTTAGCAACAACTTAGCATTGGCAACAACTTAACACTAGTAACAAACTTCGCCACTGGTTAGTGACAACTTAGCATTGGCAACTAACTTCACCATTGCTTAGCATGTATTTTCCTCCAAATATATCCATATGTTAAGTGTTGTAGAATCAGTACAGAAAAGAGTACCAAATTGAAGTTGTGTTTGAGTTTCACCAACAAGCCCATGTTCAGCCGAACATTTGAGATAGTGATGATTGAGGTGGGTCTATCCTTTTGCCATGACAATCATGTTTGACAGTATTATACACCGCTTTACTCTTTTGAATCGTTGGTTGTCGACCCGTTGAAATCAATTTGCATATTTTTTTACCCTTTCGTTTCCCTCTTGCATTGAGAATTTCTAGTTCCAATTTCGCAACTTCTTTATCAATGCCATCCAGATTATTTGGATTACTACTTCCGTGAGCATCCTCAATGTCTAAATTCAATAAATCATCAGGAATGGAGATGTTGAGATTGAAAAATTCATAGAGCAATTGAGATTGTCAAGTCATAGATGAATGACTATCGAATAAGCCTTCAACAAAAGCATTAGGATCCATTTTTATATAGTAGAATAGAAATGTATAAAGATGAAATAGAATTATAGTAGAGAATGTAATTTAAGTGAAGATGAAATGTGTAAATTGAATAATGTAGAGACTAGAATTGAGATTTGAATTGTATAATATGAAATGTATAAAGGTGTAGATTGTAGAATGTATAAAATGAATTGAGAATTGAATTGATTGATAGTAATTTGATTGCAGAGAGAATGTAGAAAAGTGTGAAAAAAAGGGATTGAAGTTGTAGAGTTATACCAAAAATAATAATAATAATAAAAAATTTAGTAACCGCTGGAATCCTTCAAAGTTTTGTGACTGTTTCCTTTTGGATGGCTTGATAAGCCCACAAGCCGCTCGCCTTTCTTGGGCTCGGCTTGTCATTCGTGCTCTTGCTCCACTCAGGCTCAAGCTCGTCTCGAAACAAACCCGAGCCATCCATTCGACAAGCTACTCGACTCTTTTATCACCTCTATAGCTCGGCGGCTAACTCAGTGGTTAAATCCAGTAGTCGACTCCTATCAAATATAACTTTGAGTTGGGGTTGAAAAATATAGATGGGTTCTTTAATTTTTTGAATTGAGAGAGGTAGAGATGCTTGAAAATTTTAGGACAAAGGAAAATAAAATTCCGAAAATAATAAATTTAAGGCAAAGATTTATACAACTGATCAAATTCTAAAGAAATTTTGGAGTTTCTTCAATTTGCAATGACCTGCTGGATTGATAGATTTGTGCTTTCAAATTTTACCCAGTCGATCGCAGACCGGTCTAATAAAAAAACCAGAGTAGATTGATGGTCGAGTCAATATTTTTTCGATTGAACCAGCTCCAGTCCAGGTTTTAAACACCACGCATACATTGCAACTCATTGGTTAGTTACTTTGTTGGGAGTCCTACGTGATTTGAATTGATTGATAGTGATTAGATTGTAGAGAAGTGTGAAAAATGTATTGAAGTTGGGAAATATTTAGGGTCATCAAAAAAATTAGTAACCGTTGGGAACCTTCAAAGTTTTGTAACCGTTTCAAAAAGATCATTTGGTCATTTTTAGGCTCGACAAGCCCACAAGCCACTCGCCTTACTCAGGCTAGACTCGTCATTGGAGTCCCCGCTCGATTGGGGCTCAAGCTTGTCTCAAAACAAGCTTAAACAGCCCATCCGACAAGCTACTCGACTCTTTTATCACCTCTATAGCTCATTGGCTAACTTAATGGTTAAACCCATGAGCCAACTCCTATCAAATATAACTTTTGAGTTGGGGTTGATGAGAAATAAAGGTGGGTTCTTTAGTTTTTGAATTGAGAGAGGTAGAGATGCTTGAAAATTTTAGGACAAAGGAAAGTTAAAATCCGAAAATAAAAAAATTATGGCAAAGAGGTAGGCGACTGATCAAATTCTAAAGAAAATTTGAAGTTTCAATTTGCAATGACCTGCTGGATTGATAGACTTGTATTTTCAATTTTTCCCAAGTCAACCGCAGACCGGTCTATTTAAAAAAAAAAAAAAAAAAAAAAAAAAAAAAAAAAAAAAAAACAACAACAACAACAACAACAACAACCTCTCCAGACTAGATTGATGGTCGAGTCACCATTTTTTCGATTGAACCAGTTCCAGTCCAGGTTTTAAAACACCACGCATACATTGCAACTCATCGGTTAGTTACTTTGTCGGGGAGTCCTACTTGATCTCTGGTAGTTGAGTTTGCGTTTCAGCTGTGGAGTTATTTAACCCAACAATGCGCTGAACTACTTCAACAAATCCAAGCACGAAAGACAACAGAGAAGAACTAATCACACAATTCTTAGATGCAACACTGAACAGGATTGTAAGAGCAAATTCCCCAACAAAAACTTGTATATAAACTAAACTTTTGTCAATGGCGTCCAACTCCAGGGTAGCAGGAATCCTATACAACATTGTCATTGCTGTCAAGCTTGGGGCATTAGCTCCATTCTTCACAAACCTCGCATTGATAAAAGCATTTTCATCCGCATTTATGGACGAAATTTCACTATGAAAGGGATAGCAAGAGGTACAACATGAACTTGATCATCTTCGTACCAAAACTCTCTATTTGTTTAAAAATTGCAGCAACGAGCTCGAGCCTTACTCAGATTATCCCACAAACAGATCATTTGTCTTGGTGATTGGTAATGCGCGGTGTAATAGTTTTCCACGCACCCATACTGACAAAATTTCAAGTTATGAGTGTACTGAACTTTTTTCGTACTGTTGAACTTCTCAACCCACATTCCCATGCTAACATCCTCCATTTTAAATAGCTGCCAATACGGGGTGGTAAAATTATTAACTAAAAGATTTCATGATTGCCGGAAGAAAATGTAGAAATATCAGGTTACACATACCCAGAGGTTCCGATTTGCATGCTGGGATACAATGTAATTGGCGATGTCGCTGGATATTATATAACCAGGGCCATTGGCATAGGGAGGATAAATTTCTTCTGGCCATTCCTGCGCAAGAAAATACATCGTTGATACATAGTAAACTGGAATCAAATTTCGTTTACCAGCAAGTGAACCTTTATACCTCATAGGTCACGGCCCATTTCCCATTTCTAAGAGGCCGGTGATGGAGATTGAGATTGCCCATGTACAAAGGCCTTGAAGAAGGCATGGCTTCAATTTCTTTTAGGACAGTATCCACCCTAATAAAAGTGTCATCGTCACATTTCATAATGTGAGCAGCTGTGACATTTTGAACCTACAATGGAAATGTTTGCACAATAAGAAAGAAACTTTGGCCTAAAAACCAAGTATATACATTTTTGGCTAAGCTTAAAATTATATCTATAACTAAATAAGCTTCTTTCTAAAATAAACAATTAATTTGTTGGTTACAGTTGGAAATAAGTTTACTTGTATAAAATTAAGCTGGAGTTACTATGAAAATAATAACTTTTTACTTAAAAGTTGGAAAAAACAACATATCCAAACATGTTTTGGAACCAAAAATTTACTTAAAAGTAAATTCAAAGCTTAGCTAAACATGAAAACATGGAATATTAAAGAAGAGTGAGAAATGTAGCCGAACATACCCCAAACTCACAAATGGCAATAGTTTTAAGAACCACAAGCTCATATCGATCCATGAATGGCAAAATTACAATATCACCGAAGTAAGCAGCCTCTTTCTTCAGTATTGCATTCACCTCCTTCCTCGGATTCTAAAGTGAGTGATGATTCCAGCAAATAAATTACAAATGATAGAATTGAAGAAAAGCAAAAAATAATTGGAGCAAGTCAAAAAAAAAATAATAAAAATAAAATAGCATTAAGGAGACCCTGTAACAATTAGTCATCTAAATGCATGTACTCATTTCTTCTAATGGTGACACTACAATTTTTTATGCACTTCCCAAATATATAAAAGAATGGCATCAATCAGTTGTACCGACACATTAATAATAATGACCAACAGTAAAGAATTACTTACTAGTGCAACAAAAAAGCGGACTGCTACTTTAGAGGACTTGATAGCCGAAGATTGCATCCATGTCTTTCTTATCGCCATTCGTTCTGCAAAATGATTGGTGGCAGAGAGAACCCCAACAAAAAGTTGAATGCGATTCTGGGGTACAGGATGAGATTTCCATTTCTCCAAGAACTCTAATACTCTTTTGGTTGAAAAACTAGGATGAGAGGTTGGCAGAGAGGTAGCATATACTGAATGAACATCGATGTCACCTTTGATTGCCAATCCAGTTGCATCTTCCAATGTGAACCCCTGAAGTGAAAACATGCATCTGATAAGAAATATTTACTGTAATCAATGGAGCAAGCAAATAGAAAGAAACAAACTGTGCAATCCAATCAGATATGGGGAAAAAATTAGGGCTTTCAAGATGTTCTGGAGCACTTTTATCATAAAAAAATGGCCAAGGCTGCGCAGAAGAATAGGAGGATTGATTTAAAAGCACAAACATAATGAATATAACAACAATAAACCAAGTATTATTCCCAGTAAATTTCAGACTCGCTATAGGAATCCCTTTTTGCTGCTTTGGTGTTTTCATTGTGACATCTATTGGAAGATCTGGAGCAACTAGAACATGCCAAACTAATGTCCAACAAAAAAGTTATGATTATCTAGTTGATGCTTAAAAAAATAAATTGAAGAAAATATTTAATGGTTTTGAAAATATTTTCCATAGCAGGTTGTTTAAGTGCTTTGGATAGTCAGGTCACACTTCAAAAAATTACAGGAAATCATTATGCTGTCACAGAAAGAAACTTCATCAGGCACCTTCAAGATTGGAACGTACCGTCCGATATGGAAACGAGGTCACATGCCGGCCTCCAGCATTCATGTGGTATCCATCAACACCAGCACGAATAGTCAGAACAAACATTCTGCCCTCTACAAATGGAAATGGCCAGGTTACTTCGGGTTTCTTTGCACGTCCTATGAACCTATCAAACCATGAAAATAATTTGGACTCTTTTGCGTCAATAATATCGTTCCTCATCCATTTTTCACACCGCAAGTATCCATCCACTGCCAAGGATAATGTATTAGACATTTACTTAAATTCAATCATCAAGGCCAATAATAATGTTCTAAACAAATAATAAAACCCAACAATCATATATGACACTAAGGTCAATGTAAAACAAAAGGGCACATAAGACATCAATACATGTATATATAATAAAAGTAGATCACAAAACAGCCAGAGTCTCTTACGAAAGTACACAACAATTCAATGTCATTATAGAAGCAAAGAAAAACATAGCACGCAAAAGATCCCATGTCATGCCAAAAGATTGAAGTTCAGAAAATCATTGCAACTTTTAATTTTTATTTATTTTCTTTAATTCTTGTAGGTCATCTAATCAGAAAATGCTCTTTTCTTTTCCCATATTTCTCTGAGGGGGTGGGGGCGTGTAATTTGTGTGAAAGAGGCGGAAAAGGGAAGCAAACAGGCAGACATTGGTGGCAAACCTTAAAGTCTTCCCAAATCCTAGAGGTATGCTTCAGTTCATATAAAAGGGAGGAGAAACAGACAGCCAGGGGGGAGGTCGTCACATGCACATTTCATAATTAAAAACCAATAAGGGAAAGTTTATGTTAACAATTCATGAAACCAGACCCTATCACCACCTCAACTGTCATTATCACAATTTAATTGTCTTCTCGTACTCACGATACAATCTTAGTTTTAATTACCAAACGAAAACATAGAATTTCATGAATTTTCTTTCATTGTTGCATAAAAAACAAAAGCAAAACCATCTAATGCCTTAAATTCACTTCTAGACAGCCAGCCAGCACATTTCCATTTTATATCAACAAGTAAAGTAAGATATTGTCAAAGTATATTTCTTAGTTTACATTTTGACTGAAGCATTATATCAGCAGACTACTTATTAGTGTTCCCAATAGATTTTGACATAGGCATGTTCAAAAGAACATATATCTTAAATATTAGTGTGATACAGATGGTAAGATAGGCAAACAGAGACTTTACCTAACATGTCATCTTCATTCTTGGATGGCAAACCATCACACCTTTGAGCTGTCCCCCATTGCATTCTATAGCAGGTATTGTGCTCAATTACGGGTCGGTGGCTCCAATCACCTCTCAATCGAGGATTCAAATGCAAAATCTTTGGTGGATCTTCCCCATCTACAGACTTTAATCCTTGAAGTTCAATCATAAACTGGGAAACCAGTACTGTAGCACCATCCAACCTCAATTTGGCAAGCTGCGGCACATATTCCTTATGAGCATAACGTGGAGTTCCAATCACTGTGATCGATGAACCTGCAGCAAGACCGCATGGAAGGAACATGATGTGATCTCTCTCAGTTAATTCATCTCCTTGCATCGAAACCCATGAAGGACATGACTCGGGCTTCCCCTTTGACATAGCACCCATTTTAATCTCCTTTTCATCATATTTATCTACTTCCTCCCAGGCCTTCGAGCCTAAGGTCCAAGCCTCATCTGCCATTTGCTCCATCACAGAGAATTTAGCTGTCTTATTCATTCTCCCGAAAATTCCAGCAGTTATTCGACCATATTGATGTTGAATAAGCTTTATGCTTCGAGCACCATCCTTTTCCTCCGGTGAGGCATCCTGTCGAGGCTTTACAGAAGCATCTTGATTCTCGTTATTTTGTAATATTCGGTGAAATCCATCCATAGAAACAGAATTCTGACGTGATTTACTTATTTTTTCATCCTCATCATCCCCAATGGACAAGTCATCTCTACCCAAATCACTATCATGGCCACTAAAAACTTCTGCAGTCTCAAAAAACTCGTGGAACTTCAGGCAGATAAGAATCAAGTATAATGCAGCTATACCCAACAAAAAATATGATAATTTGAATCTCTTTGCACTTGAAGACTCGCCTTTCAATCTCTTCATCTTTAGAAACTAAACAAACAGACAACAAGCCTTTTCTGACTCGTATAGCCAGATGTCTCACGAAATCTTTTTGTCACACACAACATAACCATAAAATTAAGGACATATCCAACAAAGAAACACAAAATTAACAGAAACTTCAGATTTAACTTCCAAAAGAAAACCTAACAAGAATTTTACCAGTTTAAATCAACATTCACCAATAATGCCTCAATGACAGATAAAGAGTATTCTACCGTTATGGGTACACACAACTGTGAACAATTGAAATTTGCAAAAAGTACTATCAACTCATCAACAGCTCCACAAAGAATCATCCACCCACAACAGAAAGATCACATTTTTTGACAAAGAATTTGAAAAAGAACGAATCGAGTGGAACCCTAATTCTCCAGCATTCCAAGGCATTTTCCAGATGCAATTAAGTACAGCCCAGATGCATCCAACTTGTGTATTTTAATAAATATATAAAACAAAAGATCAATGGAACTACACTGAGAGAATGTTAAGGAAATGTAAGAAAGTACAGCAGATCAATCTTTGAATTTGAAGGTGATTCGGGAGACCCGAAACCCTATCTTTCGCTGAAAGAGAAATGGGGAAGCAAATGCCTACACATACGCAGGTATATATATATACGTGGGTCAGTCCGACCGGGAAGAATATGCGTGGAATTGGGAAGAGGAATCAATCAGAGATTTTTAAAACAAAAACAAAAAGAATTACGCCAGATATGCAAAATATTAAAATTGAGGGAGTCTTTTAAATTAAGAGCATGTTTGGTAGAGTTTAAAATTCAATTAAAATTAATTTTTTGATCGTTATTTCATTATTTCAATCGTCAATTTTGAATTCATCTCTCACAGATAGACCCACTTTATCTCTAACAGTCACAAAATCAATTAACAAAATTCCTATCAAACAACTACTAAACAAAGTGCTCATGCAGGCAAAGATAATAATAATAATAATTAAAAAAAAAAGGGAGAGAGAAAGAGGCATCTTGTCGAGTTTGCTATACTAGAAGCTGTATTACTTGGTTCTTTGTGCACATTAGACCCGACTCGGATATCAATTCGATTGAGGCACTCAATCTTAAGTTACTAATTGGAATGATGGATCATCGATTGGATTAGTGAATCATTGCTTAAAAATTATAAAAAATAAAAATAAAAATCTAAGAGTAATTTTTTTTATAATTTTTAAATTATTTGTCAATAATTTTTATATATTTTAAATTAATAATTTTGTTAATTATTCAATTCTTCTTAATTAAAATTAATCTTTCCATACATAGTAAGTCTATAGAATGAAGTAAAATGTAGGACTATAATTTTTTTCTAATCGTCTTTAGAGAACTATGAATGATTCATGAGAGAAATACATTATTGCACAAAAATAACATTAAAGTATTATAGGTTCTAGTGTTGAGGTGTCATTCATTTACTTCGAACCTTGGACCAAAATTTTTTAAAGATAATCTTGAAAATTGATCGATCGGGCCGGTCGTTTAATATAAAAGTCAATGGTTGACCCAATTTTTGATTGGGTCGCTTGGGTTGTAATCAAATTATTTGTTCGGCCAAATCAAGGGCTCGGGTCGTTGGGTTTTTGGACCGATCGATTGGTCTGAGTCGAGTTTAATAATTATGCTTTGAATTTCTTACTATGGTTTGCTTCTATGAATTATATTCGAACATTTTTATAATTTGGATCTCTTACCATGGTTTTGATTCAATTTACACCCCTATTTGGTTTGACTAAGAAATAATTAAAATCTAAGTCAAAATCAATAATTTATTTTAACCAAATATTTTATGAAATTTACAACTTTTCACATACATTAAAATTTACGAAAATCTAATTTCTTCTAACTACTTTGGATGTATAACAATAAACCCAACTAATTTTAATAAAATTAATTGTTTACCAGTTACTATGTCTTTGTTTGGCCTCCATTTTTTTAAAATCTCATTTCTCCAAAACCCATTTTTAACTACGTATTCTCTCATAAAATATTTTACACGTAAATTCAAATTTTTTTCTTATTTTTTTAATCATGCATTCTCCAAAAATCATTATTCCAAAATACTCCCCCGGCCCAAACAGGGGTATGTTACTGAAAATAAATCAAACAAAATAACGACATAAATAACTAAAAATTGTAAAAACAATATTAATATTATCAAAACCCTCATCAATTTACCCATCTCCACATGGTCCCCTTTATCATTATGCTAGTCTCCTCTAACATTCTCCATCCAAATCCCTAATTTAATGAGGACTGCACAGTTATATATAAAAAAATTTATGGACAGATTGTGATATTGCAACTACCACAAGTATTGAAATGAAATTTGACATCCTTATTGTCTAGAAGCATTCCTCATCTTTTAAAGAATGGAAAGATTTTAATTAAAGAATAATAGTGAAAAAAAGAAAAAAAATGAATTTTTCGTTTTCTATGGTAATTTACTATTATTACAAATTCTCTATATAATAGAGTAATTCTTTAACTTTATAATTGAATTATCATTAGTGCTCATACACTAGAAAATAGAGAGAAAAAGGTACAATATTCTTGATGTCTATAAAAAACATCGAAGAAGATTGAAGGTACGAGGCTGCATTGATTGCAAGAGGTTTAACTCACGTATCAAGGATAACGTACTAATCATCTTTGTGTTTAATTAGATTAAACACATCAATAAAGCAATGAGTACAGGATAATTTTAACAAAATTTGTACCGATACTGACATGGAAAAATGGGATTGGACTATTTTTTTCTTTTATCCCATCTTCCAATGATGTCGTGCATGTGTTATTTGTAAAATTTTTCTATCAAAAAATTCTGTACTTGTAGCATTTCCTTAAACACATATTGTAGAATGTCAGTTGCTATCCATTGGCAATTAATCCTAGGTTTTGATTAATTAGTATGCTATATTAATATATAATTATGCTTTTAAATTGAAATCCTAACTAAGGATACCAAAGCTCAATTTTTTTGGTTATCTAATGGACGTAGAAATTCTTTGCATGCTAGTAAGAGCTATTTTAGGATTATTTTATTATATTTTATTATTTAGATGACTAATATTTTTTGTTGAACAAAGTTTATGATCTTAGATTATTTTGGTGATTATGTATTTATTTATCGAGTTTTAGCCTCCATAGTTTTTCATTTGATTTAAATTCCATTGCGATAGCATAGGATTCAATTTGGTAATAGTAATTATTGCTAGAAATTGTAAAGATGACAGTTCTTCATCATCTTCAAGGATTTGGGGGTCAGAGGTGCAATTTTCTGTAAAAAAAAAGTATTTTGGATCAAGGATTAATAGCAAAAACCCCCTAAAAACGTCTTCATATGCGTTATACCTCCTACCTATTGTAAATAGCATAAAACCCTCGATTTGAGACTTTTTGTTTGAAAAAAACCCTACTGTCAAGATCCGTTAAATTAACCGTTAAAACAGTAAAAAAAGGCCAAAATTAAAAAGAAATAATTTTAGTTTCAGTACCTAAACGTTTTATTTTTTTGCAAATTACACCCAATTTTTTTATATGTGCCAATCAGAATCTCTAATTCTTAAACCTTTATTTTTCACCCAACCCTACTCCAATTCATCTTTCCCAACCCACTCTAAATCCCCTCGGATTAGTAGGCAAAGGCTCCCTAAGGTTCTCAGTTGGACTCGTAAAGCATCGACTGGTTTCTTGTGGTGGTTCAGAAATTTCTAACGATGAACTTTCATAGTTGTTGCAAGACACTATTATTTCTTCAATAACCAATCCTATACATGAAAAGAACAGAAATAATTCAAATTAGATTGAAATATATTGGCAAAGTGCAGCTGTATAAACAAAACAACATAGATTAAGAAATTCTAGCCTATCTAATGAACATAAAAATAGAAATAATAAAAGATGATAAAACATCGCACTTCTTGAAGGAGGCTCACTGTCTTGTTCGCTCAATCTTTCCTTTGCCTCCCTGCCATAGCATAAATAACTCGGGCTTTAAGTTTGATAGCAAGTCTAGAAAATTGAGGGGAAAATGAAGACCAAACATATTCCACCATTGAAACAACGGGAAGATGAAGTAGGGTGCGGGAATTGTTGGAGCGACTTATAAAAAGGGCTATGTAAGGGTTGGTTTTTGATATATTTGTTTGACCAGTTTTAACTAACAAGAGCATGATTAAAACACAATTTACATGAATGAAAATTTGGACAGAGTTTCGGTATAACGATTACGCAAAACAAGGATTAAGAAAGAGTAGAAGTAAAGAATAATCCAAAGCGAGACGTTATCTCTTTCTTTAAGACAAATTGCCACGCTATGGTGCTCAAGGTGAATGGCACTTGTCTTCCAAGATACAATGAATTCACAACTTGTGGTAGCAGCACTTCAAACCACAAGAAATCGATGAACTTTTAACAGAGTTTCCCCTCTACAAAGGAAATGTATGAAAATGCTATGGAATTAGAAATGAGAGAATTGCAAGAGGAGAATGAATGCTCAATGCAGTTGGTATACCCAAAATCATGTCCATAGGGTTCTATTTATAGATATAGAAATGGTGCAAATGAAGTAGTGTTGGCCAAAACATGCATCCTTTTCAAAAAGTTGCAACACTTGGCCAAAACCTGCATCATTTCGGAAAGTTGTCACACTTCATTTCTTCCAACTTTGGTCCGCAATTTTTCATTTATCCGGAATTGATTTCGAGATTCTAAATATACCACGACGATCTACTGGACGAGTAGAATAAGTTGGTGTATTTACTTTTGTAATTTGACCATCGAATCAACTCCGAATATTTGGTCAAAGTTGACACATAGTCACACCTTTTCATTTTCCACTTTTACACACATTTTCATTTTCCAATTTTTGGTTAATTATTTGAACAAATTCCTACAATATCTCACATGAATGGAAATTGGGGTACGCATATGCAAATGCGATGATATAATGCAATGTAGAAAGGATGCGAAAAAATATTACATCAGGGATGGTGGCTTCTGGCCTTGAACCTCCCTTAGTGAAATACTATCGGACTTACTCGGCTAATTGGTGAACCATAGGTCTTGAACCACTTAGCTTTTGGTGTAAGTCAAGACAACAGTACTCACATAGATATCTTCTTTATTCTGTACTTAGTTCTCATGATTTGGTTCATTTTGACTCTGAACCCTTCTTGGTTTCATAAGTATTTAAAAAATTCAAACCTTAAAACATTTTTTATTGAAACGGCCCCATTTCACACTTACATAAGTGACTTCCTATTAAGACTTAATCAAGATATAAGAATCATTAAAAGATAATATTAGCCTCTATCAACTCTGCAGAAAGCACTTTAGTATCATAGGAATGAGTTAGGAATTCTAATTTCCTAAGTGCTTCATGAAATTTTCACAACTTAATTGTCTATTTGAACCAAGATCTTGGGATCTCCAGTCAACAAGGTAGGGTTACCATTGCAAAAACTCTTACGTAGTAGGCTTTAATCACATTCCTCTCGATAGATAACGCACTTGATCTCTAGGCAAACTTTTCGTAAGTTTATCGGCAATATTCTCTTTTGATTTTACATAATTTATGGAGATAACGCCATTTGAGATCAGTTGCTTAATGGTGTTGTGTCTACGACGACTATGTCTAGACTTACCATTATA